AGAAACAGCTGTAATGTGGAGCTAGGGTCTGAACCCAGGCTGTCTGTCCATAGGCCTGGGCTCTCACCAACACCTGGCAAAGATAGAAGCTAGAAACAGAAAGAGGTGGGCATCTCTCCTTCTCTGTTTAACAATATATCAGCAGCTTGGTTTTTATGGGGAAACGGGGGGATAATATTTTTCAGGATGCTAAATAATAAGGCCGGCCACCAGGTAGGGTGTGTGGCCCCACCTCCACCACTCCACCACTGTCTGGCATCTGCTGGGGTGGAGTGGGTAAGTCTTGCCAGTGCGAGGGGCCAAGCTTGCTACACCCACGCCTGGCTGGTGATGGACCAGGTATTGTTGAAGGCGCCCCTGGGTACAAAGCTGGCAACCAGCCACACAAATCCTGGCTGCGCCCAGGCCTCCGGCCCATTTGCACCAAGTGCCATGTGGAGGTGTTTCCCCAAACACTGGCAACTCCCTACCCCTGCAAAGCAACACAAACACATGTCATCAAAGCGGATGGCGGGCTGGCAGCAGACCTGACAGGCGCTCAGAGGCGGCTGTCTGCCTGTCTCTGGAGGCAAGTATATTCCTCGGGCCACATTTGCCAGAGCAGATGCCACTTTCCCCTGGCAAAAGGAGCCCTCCGTGGTGCCCTCAGGCCCCCCTGAAGTGAGACCTCTAGGGTTTCCCTTGGAGAACACAGACAGCCCGTGCTGCCCACAAGGTGGGCTCCTGTTACATCTGCTGCTGCTCTCCTGTCACACAGGTCCCTGGCCAGAGCCTCAGCACACCAGCCCCAGCCCTGGTGCCATCGGGCTCTCCAGCTCTTGTGCCTGAAGGGCTATGAGCTCCTGTCCCTTTGGCTGGGCCTCTCTGCTGAAGGAGTCTTGTCCAAGCTTCCTCTTCTCCCATGTGGCCGGCTAACAGGGCTCCAGCCTGGTTTCCCTGTCCCCTTTCCCTTTCTCCAGTCTGTCCACACAAAGAGACAAGAATGATTCCTGTGTTGTAAGTCAGAGCATACAGATGCCCTGATGAGAACCTTCCAAGGCCTCTCCTGCCCTTAGAATAGAAACCCAAGTCATTCGTGGGGCTCTGAAGCTCCGCGTCATCCCAGTGAAAGGGCACATTCTGTTCTCAAATCACCGCAGGCCCTTTGCCCTCGCTGCACCATCCAGCTACCAGGGATATGCTCACCTGAGGCCTCCACGTGGAAGCCTCTTCCTGTCTACTGGGTTGCCATCCAAATGTCACCTCTCAGAGAGGCTCTGCTGAACCAGCAGCAGCCCGGCCCTCTCCACGTCACCTCTCCTCTTGGACCAGGAATGACCTTCTTTGTTTTCTGGTTTGTGATCTGTTTCCCAGTCAGAACATAAGAGCTGGGTGGTAGGGTCCTGCTCTGTCCTTTAGAGTTTACCACCCTCAGTACCCCAAACAGTGCCTGGCACAGAGTGAGGGCACCAGAAACATTCCTTGTAAGTATACAGATAGGGGAATGTGTGCATAGATGAGTGAATGCCCACATGACAGGTACTTGGTGACGAATGTACCGCCTTCCTGGCCCACTGGTTGGATAGATGACCAAGTGTGCTCCCCCTTGGCTCCATGGCACCCCAGGAGTGACAACTGAGGTAATAAGCACCCTTGAGTGGACACACCTCTTCGTACCTCCCTTGACTGCTCTCCCCCGAGAGCTGCCTGGGACCACCTCCCAGTTACACAGCCTGCACCAGAATCCACATCCAACCAGACCAATATGAGCTGTTTCCACACACATACCCAGGACTGGGAAGCTACCCGGAACCCCATCCTCAGATTAGGAACCCCATCCCTTTACCACCGGCCTTCTGCTTGCGGCTTCCTTACTTCAGCACTTTCAAACTTGAATTTCTCTTGAGTCCTTCTGCGAGAGCACACACACCTTCATCGCCGAGGTGGTTCTCCTCCAGGCTGGTGAGAGGAAAGGAAAACTCCAGTGGATATGATCATATTTATTATGGAAGATGATGCTAATAAAGATGGACCCATGTGTCCCCCACCTTCTTCATTTAGAAAGTCTAACATCTGAACATTCAAGCTTATGGAGAGAGTAGAGAACAGGATTTTCGATTTTAGGGATATCTGTGCAACAGAATTCATTCCAAGGCTTTTCTACATAAGTTTGTTTTCTTTCTTTCCTTCCTTCCCTCCTTCCTTCCTCTTTCTTTTTTCTATTTTTTTTTTTTGGTCTTTTTGAGACAAGGTCTCATTATGCAGCTCAGGCTGGCCAGAATGGTCTCAACTCTCAGTGATCTTCCTGCCTCAGCCTCCCAAGATTTATAGGCAGGTGCCACCACACCTGGCCCTATCTAAGTTTCTTTTATGATATCCCATGTTCCCTTTCTTTCTTTTTAATGGGAATATCATTTCATTTGGGACAACCTTTCTTTTTTTTTTTTTTTTTTTTTGGTCCCAGGGATTGAACTCAGGACCTTGAGCTTGCCAGGTATGCACTTACTCTACAAGCTATCTCCCCAGCAAAATTTTACTTTTTTTGGAGCACAGGGCAGCCATTTCTTGGTAGAAAAAAACCCCAAACCATACTTCCAAATCTCCATTGCAGTCAGAGTTGGCCAAGTGACTACACATAGCCATGGACACACAGGAGCAGTTGCCATGCGGGCTTCTAGGAGTGCTTTTCCAGGAGAGAGACCCAGCTGGCCTATGCCTTTTTCCCATCTCAGGTATACACACTAAGTCCTGGATTACAGACGTAATTGCTGCAGGTGGAGCAGCTATCTTATGGTGACGAGGCAGCCAACCACGAGGACAAAGCTACAGGGTAAGGATGATGGAACAAAGAGAACAACAGAACCGAAGCAGCCCATGGTGTTATACACCTGTCACCCTAACATCCTGGAAGGCTGAGGCAGGAGGGTAGTGTGTTTGAGTGACTTAGAGAAAACATGGCTTAAAATTTGAAAAATGAAGAAAGGGCTGGGGATATAGCTCCTTGCAAGAGCCCTGGGTTCAAGCTGTGCTACTTAAAAAAAAAAAAAAAAAAAGTTAAGTCTCCTGCTAGCCCTTTGTAGCCATGATAACGATCCTATACTACTGCCTCCAAACTGCCTATATATGAAAAAATAAACTCTTCAGTGACTTAAGCTTCTGTAGATGGAGGCTTTCTGGCATGGTGAGGTTAATCGCATGTTAAACTTAATTTGGCCTGAGGTTGCCTCCCATACTTTGAGTTCTTATACAGCAAATTGCAGCCTAACTTAAAATGTAAACAAACTGAAATTGCTAACAGTATAGTGTTGTGATAGACAGCTGAGTCTCAGCCAATTGTAGCAGCCAAGCTTCAGCCAATCACAGTCCACCAGCTCATCATCCCATGCCCAAATAAGGCAAATGCAGAACTGAAAGCAACCAAACTTTTCCATTGGTAAATAGAAGTTGCCTACATGGCTGGGGGGAACCCCCTGAACCTCTCCTCATCCTGCTGCCTGATCCCATCAGTCTTCTCTCAAATAAACTTAACTAAATTTAACTTTTCTCAAGATGCTCTTTTTAATAGGTATCATAATTGATATAGTCGCACTAAGATGGTTCTCTACCAAGAAATCATAAGCAGCAAAAGTCCAATCAGGATATAATCAGTGGTACTTTAGCAGAGCTCATAAACCTGGCCAACAGGTAAGGCCATATCCATATACATTTTTGCAGTAATGCTTATATTTTGCTTATATGAAGTGCATTTTTCTACTCCTTGAAGAATCAACACTGAACATTTGATCTCCCTGGTGTATTTGGAAGCCCAAAGAAGTCTCTGGAGTTGAAGATTCTGCTATAGTATCTATAAGGTAGAAAACTAGGAATCTCTTCAGGTCAACAATATAAGCATACTTCCTGGTGCATTACTCAAGTATTCCCAACACCATCTTGTCCCAAGATGAGCCCCGCTTCCAATGCTCAGTGTTCTTAGAATCTCCAATTCACTTTAAAATAACAAGGCCTCTCTATTAGGAGCCATCATAGTACCGGTAGTAGCTGCAGTCTTAGCACCAGAACAGTTAGTAATAACTTTACCGCTGTTGCAATTTAACATTTATAGTGTTCATACATATGCCAGGGGCTATATTAAGCTGTTCACTGGCAGATGTTCCTACAAACATCTTTTCATTCTTGGAAGGATTCTTACCCTAATTTTACAGGTAAGAAACTTGAGACTCAGAGATTGTTGTTTCATTTTCCTAAGGTCACCAAATGCTATGTGCAGCCAGGAGACAACCCAGCAAACCAACAAGTACACCTGAGTGAAAGAAATTAGCAGTTATGCTCGTGGATTGAGAAGCTTCGTAACACTCAGTATATAAAAAGACAAACACAACCAGTCATGCAGCCATCAGCCTTCGTCTTGTCCACAGAGCTGTCCCCTGGGGGAGGCTATCAAGAAAGACAGGAAACCCTCCAAACTCACCAGAGTTCCTCTAGAGCCACGTTCTTTTCCAGCATCTGTGCCAAGGCTTGGGCGCCCACACTGCCAATGCTGTTCCCCACCAGGCTGGACATTATAAGTATGAAATAAAAATGTGTCAGAGAGAAGGGAGAGAACCTTAGAGACAAGCTAGCCAGAGAAGGGCAACTGTCTGGCACCTACAGCCCTGCTCTCTGAGGGCTTCATTTCAGGCATCACTAATTTATTGCGGTTGTCATTAAACCCAGGAGCAACTTAGGAGCATTCTCCACAGGGTGCCCGAGGCAGCCACCATCAACGGATCAAACTTGTCTTCAAGACAAAATGTGACTGATTCCACTGGGAAACCAAGACCCCAAGAGGGGAGGTGTCATTTCCAATGTCCCCTAAAAAGACTCAAACACCCTGCTGCCAAACCCAATGGTCTTTCTCCTTCACCCCGCTGCCCAGTACAGAGGAGATGAAACAAAGTTCAGTGGTCAGCAAAAGTGGTCCAAGTGCCCCCTCCTCACACATTAGGACAGATGCAGGCTGGCCCTTACAGCTTACCTGAGCCACCTCAAGCTCTGGTGGTCACCCAAGGCTTCGGCCAGGGCCTGAGCACCCTCGTCACCCACAGTGTTGCCCCAGAACCTGAGAAACCAGAGGCCACAGGGAGCATGAGTGAGTACCTGCCTCTAGACACATGCTAGGTGTGCCTGCTTCCTCTCACCCCAACAAGGAGAGCCAGGACCACCCAGTCCTGGGGAGGTCAAAGGGGGACACTTTAGCAAAGTGGAACTGCTGCCATCTTTGTGGAGAGATGGCCAAACTTCACTCAGACTTTTCAGGGACCTTAAATCAAAGTAAAAAAAAAAAAAAAAAAAAAAAAAAAAAAAGGGCAGGGGAGATGGCTCAGTGGAATAAGTGCTTCCCTGGCAAGCACAAGGGCCTGAGTTCAATCCCCGGTTCCGCAAAAAACAAAACAAAGTAAAAAAAAATCAGAATCCCACCTATCCCATATCCTCAGGGATGGGGGCTTCGCTCTCACTCTAATTCACATGGTTGTGACATTTTCCCAAACATTTCAGTTCAGAGTTCCTTCTGTGGACTTCCATTCTCAAGTGTGTGACTGTCCCGGGTCATCACAGGCACAAGTCCAACTCTTCTTCCAGAGACAGCTGTTGATCTCTTGTTCCCTTCTTTCCCCTAGTTCCTTCCTGGTTTCCACCTCCTTCACCTTTGGGGCATCTTCCTCTGTCCCAACATGCTTTGGAAATCTCCCTGTGCAGAAGGCGGAGCCCAGCTCCCACCAGACACACGGGGGCCTGCCAGGGCTGCGCATGTGCAAGAGTGAGCACAGACAGCTGCCCCAGGGTGCTCCCTGGGCTTTCACTGGGTGAGAATCACGTGGGCCCTGGCCTGTGCCCTGGGCACATGAGCCTGTGATGGCCCAAATCCTGGAAACAACCCCAGTTGTCTACTTGAGGCTTTGGGTGCCAAACAGTGAAATACAATGCAGCTTTATTTAAAAGAATAAGGCCACAATGATCCAAAAGGAACAGAGTACATCACAAAGCAAATACAGAAATGCAAGCTGCAGAACAGTTTGTACCATATGATAGTGCTTGGGTTGGGGTTTTAGCACAGTAAAACCCAAGCAGGCACCTTAATAAATACATGTTGTGAGGGAAGCAAATGCCCCAATGTGGCCGAGGAAACCTCAAGAGGAAAACACCTCAGTGGGCCGCGCCTCTTCTGTTCTGGACTCAGTTGCTACTGATACAGCATGAAAAAGGTGTCAGTTCCTGGAGTGATGCACATGTGGCCGAGTCTGAGCTTGTGGGCAACCTGCCTGCCATGAGACGGCTGGAACACTAGGGCCTCCGGGTTAGTTTCTCTTTCTACAGACTTGGATTTGGTAACCTGTCTTGTCAGCTGAACCTCAGTCTGCACAAGACAGGGGCAGCTGGGGATGGTGTAGGAGCAACCCTCCAAGAAGCTGTTCTGTCCAGCTCCCAGAGGAAGCTCTGCTCCAGGGCCCAGTGTAAGAGACTTGGCTCCCTCCTTGGTGAGAGCCCAAGGACCTCCCTGCTGGGCCCTCCTCTTCCTTCCCTACGGCCTCTCTTAGGTCAAGGGCCCTAACCCTGGATACACAGCCCCTAGACATTTCCACTTCGCCTTCTGGCATGGGCCCAGGTGACAGTGTTTTCTAGAAAAGCAAGTGCTTCCAGGTGCAGCCACAGCCCAGCCCTGCGCACCTCTGATGACCTATAAGCTTCCTGTCCCCATCATGGGCACTGCCCTCCCCCTCCCCTGACACCAGCAACTTCCTGTTTTTTGGGTGGAGAAGCCTAGGGCCACCACTCTCCCCAGTGCACCCTTCCCATTGGAGCCTGGGCTATCTCTGGGGACTCCTGGCTGAGGCATTTCACCTGCCCCTAAATTCTCAAAAAGCCCCAAATTTCATGTAGGCCCTCTGCCGGGAATCCCACCTACCCCAAGAATTGCAGGGAGGCATTGCTTCGGAGGCCCTGGGCTAGCACCTGTGCACCTGCAGCGGTGATGTGGTTGTTTCCAAGCCTGAAAAGGAGGACAGAGGAGGCTGAAAGTGCAGCTCTGGGCAGGGCACAGGACAGTCACTGCCCTGCAAAGGGACATCCCCTTCTCTCCCCAGCATTTTGGGCCTCTCTGACAGGGACAGCCACCAGTGCGGCCTAGTTGATGGTGTTCAGTGGCTCCAACAACCTCCACTTTGTTCTCTAGCGGCAAAGGGAAGGGAGTGTGTGCTTTGCAAAGCAATGTGACAGGTCTGGGCAGGAAGCACAGCAGGTAGTTTCCTGGAAGGGGGTTTCCCCAGGGGATTAGGATGGCTCAGTTCACGCCACCTCCTCCTGATCTCAGTCAGGCTTCCCAGACCTAGATCCTCTGTAGCCACAGAGGGGCCGGGGAGATGGCTCAGTAGAATAAGCGCTTCCCTGGCAAGCGCAAGCCTCTACCTGCTCTGCCAGCACTGCTGGGACAGGCTCAGGGGGCTGAGCAGAGATCCTGTGAGCCTCCTAGGAGCACTCCCTGCTAACCCCAGAGGGCTGCTGCAGAGAAAGGGAGCACAGGATCCCAGCAAGGAAGGCTGCAGTTACAGCCAAATCCAGCCCCTCTGGGAGTGTCTAAGAAGCCCCTGGCACTCTCACTCAACTCCCAGATTCCTGGAATAAACACAACATACTTTCATCTTTCAAAGAGCTTTGGGCCACTCTGGCTCACAAGAACCTTATGAGGCAGGTGTTATGTCCTTGGAGAAGGGGTTGGTGCCATGAGATTGTGTTTGTGAGACCCCCAACCTCAGCTCTCTTTGAGTTGTCCCTTTGGGCCTCTGTGCTCTGAAATCCGACCCCACAACTTCTGTTCCACCTGTGACTAACACCCAGGAGACCCCCTCCCAGCCCACTGGGCCAAGGGCACCCCAGCGGCCCACTGAAGTCCACCTTCCTCCCAACCTGCCTGCCTTCCTTGCTTCCCTCTCTCTTTCACACAAGATCATGTGTTCCAGCCTCCCCAAACTCCCTCTCCATTCAAACTTGGAGACATTTTCGCCAGTAAATCTGTTGCACATCTAATTCCTTCTTGGAGGCCTTAGCATAAGGATACACAATCTGTGGGCTTATATAATTTACCCACGAGCTTTCGCTGAGCTTGCTATATAAAGCACTTACTGTACTGCACCAGCGCCTTACATACATTAACTCACTTCCCCACCCAACCATCACGGAGATGGCTAAAACCATTATCCTCATTTGGCAGGAAGGGACACAGAGGCGCAGAGACAGGAAGCTCACCCAAGGTTACATAGTCAATGAGGTTTCAGATCTTGGGGTTGCTAGGTTCATACATCACGGCCCACCTAGCTCCAGAGCCCCTGCTCTCAAATGGTGACAGTATGCCGGCCACAAATCCCAGCATCCTGTGCTACCCACACTCCTCCCTGGGTAGATGGGGTGGGAGGCGACGGTGGCAGAGCAAATCTTGCATAAAATGTGGCTATGGCCTGGCTTTAGGAGCCCTGGTTGAGACCAAGCTCCCTGGTCAATTTTTTAAACGGCAGTTCCCATCCCCCAGCTAGTGAAAAAAACTGGAAACAATTCTTCGTAAGGAGGCAAGACAATCATAGAGAAACAGCCAACCGGAGGGCCATTTCAGTGGCAGGAGCGCTGCTAGCCAAGCCTAGAAAGAGCAGCAAAATAGCGGCCCTCTGGGACAGAGGCATAAACCCCTACAGTAGCAAGTGACTGTGTGCGCGCGCCCCCTAGTGGACACATGCAATGTGCTGCTGGAAGCAAGCTACCTCCAGAGAGCTCCTGACAAGCAGGAGAAGGAGGGAAAGAAAAGGGCCTAGAAACGTGTTCATCCTGAGGGCTCACAGAAGCCCTCAGCAGCGCCCGACCAAAGGAGGCCACCGCACGGGATAAACCAAAGTCTGACTGCCCTGCATTCAGTCAGGGGTCACAAGCCCGCTGACGGCCAGGCCAGGGTGGAAAACTGGACCACACTGATGCAGCTATGAGGAAAACTAGTTTGCAAGGCACAAGAAATCCCAGGGCTCACCTCAACGCCAAGAAGTTCTGCTTGTGCTCGAGGAGCTGGGCCATGGAGTGTGCGCAGCCGTCAGTCAATTTGTTGTTGAACAGACTGTTGAGTTCCAAGAGAGAGAGGATATAAGGAGGCGAGGCGTAGGGCCGCGAGCTCTCAAACCCAGGCCTGCCCACTCTCCAGCAGGAGTTGCCCTGCACCCTCCAGTTGGGCTGCAGCCTTGTCCCGACCCATCTCTCACGCATGGTCGCCCAGGCAGAGCGGCCTGGAGTGAGACTGGGGACCCACAGCCCGTGTGCACGGCCCAGCCCGCTTACGCCAGCTTCTGCAGCTGCCCATAGTGAAGAGCGTGCTCGATGAGCTTGCAGATGCCTCGGTCCGAGATATTATTATCACGCAAACTAAAAAGACAAAATAGATTAATTTGAGATTAAAATAGATGAAAGTGAAAAACAATGTATAAAATGCCCTCACCATCCCCGACGTGGCAGCATCTGCGTTTCTAGAAATCACCCACAAAAGTGGAGACACCCAGCATCTCTGGCCCAGAAGCTGACCAGGACGTAAACGATCCGAGACAAGGGGGCCCCAGGGCCCCTCCTAAAGAACACTTCAACCCTCTAGTAGTCACACAGCTAATTTGAGGCCCAGTTCTCATCTCCACCAAAGGGCAGCAATCATCAGAGCAGCCTCACTGCAGCCCCACGGAGGAGAGGAGTTGATCTGTGACAGAGATAAGCAGCACCATTCCACAGCTCCCCTGGTCATGAGCTCATCTGAAAGTTTCCACCAAATGCAGAGCTCAGACCTCCACCCTGGAGCTTGTGATTCTATACACATGAGTAGGACTCAGGGATTGAAGTATTTTAACAACTGGGACGCACATGGTTCTTCATCTTCAGGCAGACTTGGGAGGTCCTGGCTAAGTGATTACCTTCCCCTGGCACCAGAGTCCCTGAGCCACTTACCAGCCATTTGTTGATCCCTTCATCCGCAGGAAGAGAACAGTGCCATGGCTGCCCTCACCAGGCTGAGCACAGAGTCTAAGTCATCTGTAACCATGAGCGCTGGCATTGGGGGCCTTCTAGGCATCTGGCACTTCACAACAGCAGCCTCATTTAACCATCACCATGGCCCATAAAATGGGTGCTACAGTTAATTTCTCTGGAGAGAAAGAAACTGAGGCACAGCCATGGGAAGTGACTACTAAGGTGCTTTGTGGCTCCAAATCTCACCCCTATCCACCACAGGACATCTCCCCCTTGTGGCTTTCCCTGGTTCTCTAGAGCCTTTGACCCACAAGTAGGCCAGGAAATCAATGTAGAAGCTCCTGAGCAACATTTTAAAAACTGAAATAAAACAGACAGAAGAGGAGGGGTGGCGTACATCAGAGTTAACAAGGGAAACTCATTTCCTGAAGCTTTGGTTCTGATTCCACACACACCGGTGTGCCTGCTCGCTCTCTCGTCTTCTCACTCACTATGGGTCACAGCCAAAAACTCCATCACCCCAGTCGGAGGAAGCCAGGTTCTAAAGAAGCCTGCATGGGGGCACTTGGTACACGGGGTTTCCTAGAGGCTGTGGGTTTCTGTTGGCATGGAAACTTGAGTGGGAGAGAGACGCTGCCTGGAACTGTGGGAGAACTGCCAGTACCCCTTCCTCCCTTTCTCTTTTCTTCTCTCCCTCTATGAACACACACACACACACACACACACACACACACACACACACACACATATGCAGAGCAACCTCACAGTTGCTTTAGGATAAGAAGCCATAGTCTTAGTCAAAGACCTTAACTGCTGTGGTAGCTTTCCATCCCTATAACAAAATACTAAGGTAATGAACTTATAAAGGGAAAAGATTATTTTGGCACACACTTTTGGAAGTTGCTATGGGCCCCAGTGGCTTTTGGGGCTAGGGTGGGGCAGCACAGCAGAGCAGGAGTGTGTGAGGGAGCAAAGCTATTTGCATCGTGAACCAGGGTGCAACTAGGAAGGAAAAGGGGCCAGAGTCAAGTGATCCGTTCAAGTCACATGGTCTCTCCAATACTTCCCATAAGGGTCTACCTAAAAAAAGTTCCACCACCACCCCATAATGCTACCTTGGGAGCCAAGCTGTTAACACAAGAACATCTAATAGGCACTTACCCAAACCACAGGAACTGCTAGTGGAAAATCAGGACAGGAGTCTTCCAGATGGTCCCACAGTGTGAGACCAGCCAGGTCCAAATCACCTGTGATGTTCACTAAACATCTGGATTCCAAGGACCCCACCCCAAACCTAGTACAAGGGAATTACTAGGGGCCGACCCAGGAATCTGTCTCAGCAGCATCTTTGCCTGATATCTGAGCATCACAAGCTAGAACCAGGCAAGTCTCACTTTTCTCTGAAAAGAAAGACAGAACCACAGGCTCTCCAGCCCTTTCATAGACCACCAGGGTAGAGTGGGGTTGTCAAATGAATATTTGTAGTGGAAAAAATAAAATCTACTCAAAGATGCTCAGGATGGTCTGGTCTTTTAGCATCATCCAGGTGAGTGGTACCTGGCCTCTTGAGGTTTGAGGACCCCTTGGAGAACCTGGTAAAAACTATAGTCCTGTTATCCAGAGTAATGCACATTCACATTTCTATCAATAGCTTCAACAGCCAGCTCTCCAAATTTCCCAGCCAAAATACCAAAGTTCTTCCCTCCAGAGGAAGTGGGCCACTGCATTGGGTACACTCTGTTCACTTGCCAGATCCACTCTCCTCAGGGCCCTGGGTGGTGGATTTCTGTGTGTGGATGCCATTGGTAGGCAGGTGCTGTCTCCCTGTTTGGGGGCAGCCAGTGGAGGGCACTGGCAGGCAGTGGTGAGGGAGGCTTTACTCTCCCAGGTCCCAGCTTGCTAAGCTCAGGGGGTCCTCACCATACCTTCACCAGCTGCTACTAAATACTCCCTTTCCCAGCCTGCCCTCCACTCCTAGCCTAGGATCCTTGCTCAGCCCTCTTGCTCCTCCTAACTCCTGAGCTGCATTTATTCAGTAGAATAAATGCATGCCTGGCAGGCACAAGGGCCTGAGTTCAATCCCTGGTTCCGCAAAAAAAAAAAAAAAAAAAAAAATTTGCCTAACTCCTGCCCATAGCTCTATAGACAGTCCTCTTACTAGGCTCTCTCCAGCTACCCAATTTAAGGGTGATACCTGTCCTCTGCTGGACCCTGTATATAATACACATCTTAGAGTAAGTATATGTATTATGTTATAATAATGGCCTCAGTCCCTGTGTAAGGGCTAACAAATCACTGTGCAGATTCAAGCAGATGTCTGCATTTGCTCAATGGGGGAAAGCTTGGTGCTTTGCTCAGAGAAAATAAACATCCTAATACATTCAAGGAGAGGCTTGTCCTTTGGTCGGCATCAATTAAGGTCATCTAAAAGTAGCTTGAAAGCCCCAGCAGGCTGTGAATAGATTTTAACTTTAATCTACAACTTCTGCTTTCTCAAAGGGTCAAAAGGGGAGAACACATGGCATCTCCTTTCAAGGCCAGAAGGGACGCAGAGGGCTGGGGGCATGCTGGTCACCAGGCCTGGGCATGCTCCCTGCCCTCACCTGCCCTGAGCCATGGAGCCGACATCCAAGGGCTCAAAAAGCACAGCTTTGAGTCCTCACCAGGAGGCAGAAAGCAGCACAGGTAGCACCGAGTGCTCCTCGGATACCACACCACACAAGGAACGGAAGGGTGAGCGCAACTCTGCAGCCACTTTTCCTCTCAGGTCCTGAAATGCCCATCCTGTCAGGATCTTAAGGCCTCCTGTAGGGCACAGGTCACCTACGATTTGAAGTACTCGCATGCGCATAGCACAGAACGGCACCTGACCCCAGGGTTTCCCTGGATCCTGGCAAGGGCATCCATAGGCAACGTGTGACCAGAAAGACATAATCTGTAAAATTCAGCTCTCTGTTTCCTGTGTGACCCAACAAGTTACTTCCCCTGCTGCCCCTGAGCCTCAAGTCAAGGCTAATAATATCCCTATGACAGCCCGGAGATGACAGCCCAGTCACTGCAGGAAGTGTAGCACAGAGCCCACCACATAGAACATTCAGTGAAGTAGGGCCCTCCTTATCATATGTTGAAACTAAAGTCTCAAACTGGGAATGGGTCTGGCCTGCCTTGTACAGAAATGTAGCAGAATAGGGCCTGGGGCCAGACTTCCAGACCCCAGCCACATGCCCCCATGCCTAACCTTGATGGCACCACTGCCCCATGCCCAGCAACACTCACTAAAGAGCCTTGCAGACACCAAGGCAAGGCAGCAGCTGCTCCACGCCAATGTCGCCCACAGAGTTGTGGTCCAGCTGCAAGGCCACAGGCCACTGGAGGTGCCGCAGCACAAAAGCCAGGGCAGCACACTCGGTGGGGCCCACGCTGCAAAATGTCAGTTTGAGGTGCCCGACATCCAGCCCCCGCACGGCCTCCCGTGCCAGCTGCTCTTCCTGCATTTCATAGAGGCTCCGGATGAGCCAGACGAAGCCAGGCATAGCGTGCATGCTCTTGGCCTCACCTGGCACAGCCGGCGGGATGCAATGGAAATGCTTGTGGAGGCTACGGGCTAGACACCAGCGGGCACAGGCTTGGCGCCGCAGCAGGGCCTTCTCGGATGCCTGGCACTCAGCTAGCAGGTCCTGGTGCTCCCGTGACAGCAGCCCTGCCAGGAAGGCTGCAGTGATCTGAAGATTGTGCAGCTCGATCTTCTGCAGCAAAGCTGCCACGCTACCCTCTTTGGTCCTGGGGCTCTGGACACAAAGCATGGGCAACAGCCTGGTCAGTGGAGAGCTGCCTGGCCTGTGACACTTGAAGAGGTGTCTGAGTGAGGTTGTTGGCACATCAGCACAAAGCACGAGGTAGAGAGCAGCAAAAAAGCACTGAAAAGTAATATGCAGGAATTCCAGGGGTGCCGCACTCCCTGGCACCGCACCTTGGGCGCGCACCAGGAAGCCAAGAGAAATGTCCTCAGGGTCAACCTGTGCTGTCTGGAGCTGTTGGGCTGAAAACACATAGCAGCACGTGCCCAAGCCCCAGAAGGCCAGGCGGCCGAGGTGCAGAAGCGAGGGCAGCTTGCTTTGAAGGAGGCCAGGCCCCGGGCCGTGGGAGACAGCCTCTGGAGTGGAGGCATGCAGCAGGAAATGCTGCAAGATCAGAAGATACATATCTGTGGTGGTTTTAGGGGACCTCCCATTTTGCAGCAACAGTTCCTGGTGGCATTTAGACACCATCCACGAGAAGACAGGAAGGTGGCACAAGCCATGCAGCACAGAAGTCGCCTGGAGCAGGTGAATGAGGCGGTCTGCTACGCCGTGTTCAGGATGGCACTTCCTCAGGTACCGCTCGATGCCCTCCTCTGAGAAGCCCCTGAGGTGACACTCCGTGTGCACATACTTCCGGAGGCTTGCCGAGACCGCATCTGGGCGGCTGGTTAATACCTTTCGGGCATCCTTCAGCAAGTTGCCCTGAAGGAGGTTGAAAAGCAGAGTCTGGACCGATGTAGGGTCAGTTGGGGAACAGTGACGCTCCTGGTCCGTGAACCTGAACCTGAACTCATCAAACCCATCAAAGGTGAGTAGCACACGGTCAGGGTGTTCAAGGAGGAACTGGAAGACGTCCTGCTGACCAACATCAGGCCAACAGCAGTGCTCAAAGAGCAGCGTCCTCACAGACAGAGGTTTGCTCATGCACTGCAGCTGCCGGCAGCTGAATGGGAAGACGAAGAGGAACTCCTGGAAGTCCTGCCCTGTAGCCCACAGCAAGTGCAGCCGCTGCAGGAGTGTGCTCTTGCCACTGCCTGCCTCGCCCACCACCAGCACGGTGTCTGCGTCTTCGTTGAGATGCCCTTGGGTGCTGAAGAGTTCCTCAAGGCTCAGGGTGGCAGGGCTTTTCTTCAGGGGTCCCACTTCCATCCGGAGCTCCAGGATATTCTCTGTGTAAATATCCTCCAGGCAGAGATTCTCCACCCCATCGTAGGTACTAAGGGAGCGGGACTGAGCAGACACCGTGGCTCTCAGCTTGGCTATGTACCTCTGGCAATCAGCAGCTGCAAGACAGAAGAGGCTAATGAGGGTGGGACCCTGGTCGGAATGTGTGCTAGCCACACAGCAGGATGGGGGATGATGTCACCAATGGGAGAGAGTCCCTACATTATAGAACTCTGGACCCACAGAGTCATGACTCATGTCATGACTCAGAGCCTTTGACTCATGCCAAAGGTCAAGGACAGTGTCCAACAGAAAGTGCTTGAAAGCTGTCATGATTATTACTGGCATCAGGAAGTACTGGGCTGGGGTCAGGAGACTTGTGTTTGGATGTCTGTCCCATCACGTTGGCTACGTGGCCTTAGACAAGTTCCCTCATCACCTACCCTTGACTGCCTCTTTCTAAAGGTATAAGGAGTGTATGGGCCTAGGAGTCCAAAGTCTGACCTGGCCTACCACTAATGGAGCCACGCCACCCAGTAAGAACACTGTCTTACTGCAAATTAGGACAACCCATCAGTGCTCATGAGGCACTGGGATAAGATGAAGCTTAGAAGAACATCTGACACTTGATAAATGACTTAAAAAAAAATGTGTTTACTAATGTTATGGTTTGCTTGTATTTGTCCCCCCAAAGCTTCATGCAGTCATTGAGGTGTGGTTCTAAAGTTTGTGATAAATTCATGATCCAAAGCGGGGATTATGGGTCTGAGTACTGCTGGGATTAGGGGTGTGAGTGCTACACCCAGCCTGGGGCGGATAGCCTGAATCCAACATAAGAGAGGCAGAGAGACAGGTTTGTTCTCTGTTGCCATTGTTTCACTGTTGCTCTTACTCCTCCCTTTTGCTCTTGCTGTTTTGCTGCCTTCCACTGCCATGAACTGCTGCCTTCTGCCATGTGCTATGGAGCCAGCTAAGTATGGACTGAAACCTCTAGTAAGTGTAAGCTAAATAAACCTTCCCTTCCCTAATTTTGGGTGTCAGGTATTTGTCCCAGCAACGAGAGAAGAGTAGCTAAGACAACTATATTAGTGGATACAGTAGGCACAACACTGCCCACCCAAAGATGTCATTTTCTGGTCCCTGGAACCTAGGACTATGTTCCATATCAGGTAAAAGGGACTCTGCTGATATGATGTGGTCACAGACCCGGAGGTAAGGAGACAAACCTGCGTCATCGGCCAGGCCTGGCACTGCAGGGCCTTGAGATCACCAGAGCACCCAGACCAAGAGCCTCTACTCCTGCCTGCCTGTCGTCATCCCCTCTCCCCAACTCTGCAGGAGAAGCTCTCAAGCCCAGAGTACACCCGGATGACTGCTGCTCATCCGGCAGCACCCTGGTACCGCTGTATTTCATTCCCTTCCTGTGTCAGTGTGAAGTTCCTCTTTCAGGAAATGAGGAAGGGCTGGGCCAGAGTAGTAGGCTGGTGTCACGTCAGTGTGGTTCATGTCACAGCCTCACTGCCCACAGTCAAGCCAATTTCATCTCAACCCAGAGGCCAATGAGTAACTCACAGGGCGTTCAGCTCTCTGAAGTACGTGCACAGCCCTACAAAGCAGGCATTCCATGTCTGTGTCACCTTTCCTCCTTCTCCTTTTTCTTTAAGAAAGGGTCCTGTTATGTTGCCCAGACTGACCCCAAACTACCAGACTCAGACAATGCCCCTGCATCAGCCTCCCAAATAGGTAGGACTATAAGCATGTGGCATCATGCCTAGCTTTTGTCTCCTCCTTTGTTCACAAAGCTGACAATTATTGTTGCCGTTTCTACCCTTGGGATGTATCGGGAGCCTTGAGCAACATCAGAAGATAGAGATCTTCTTTCCAATCTGACTTCCAACACAGGTCCCCAGTCATCACCCACAGTACTAAAATTCTCCAAAAATGAAGCGTCTCTCATTTGAAAGAGAAATGAGTACACATCAAGTGTCATTCTGGAAGCACCTACACCATGGCCCAGGGTCACCATGCTGCGTGGCCGGCTTCGTCTGTCCCTGATGTCTGCACCATGTTCTTGAATGAGCTGTGCACACTCACATCCAAGCACAGGCCTCAGCCCGCCCGCCACAGGCTTCCTCGACATCAGAGGGCAGGCCCACGGCAGCAGAACCATCTCTGGGCTCTGGCACTGAAAGCTTCCCTCCAGGGACATGGGGACGAGGCTGGGAGAGTCACAGATTTACATCCTCTTTTTACATTTGATGCTGTCTTCTCCCAAGAAGAAAACAGAGCTTTCTAGTCAGACCCATCCTCCCCCACCTAGTCATGTACTCTCCCCACCTACTTTCCACAACTGTAAAGTAGAGAAAGCATCTACTTCTTGGGTTCTTGCAAAGGGCAGATACTGTCCATGAAATACTAGCCAGACGCCTGTCATGCTCCACCTATGCTAGCCTAGCCTCCTCCATTCCTGAGTTGGCGACCCTGGGCAGTGAGAGATGTCACGTTCTCTAAGGCCACTTGGTTCTTGAGTTTATGATCATGAGTAGTTAATTTTCAGCAATCAAAATTATACTAGCCCCTCTCTCAAAAAATGTTTCTGCATCTTTGTGTTGTAGATGATGAGTTTAGACTGTAAGAAACAGCTGTCGTTAGCCTTCAGTATACGGTGGTTCCAATTATCATTCTGCAGAAGTAATGGCAGCTAAGAATAAATATTAATGCCTTTCCTTTTAAATCTTCCCAATAGCCTAATGAATCATTTGGTGACAAGGGCTTTAAAATAGGAAACTGAGTTTTCAGGAAACTGAGTTTTAGGGAAACTACCGTAGCCAGTCCATGGGGTAGTAATTGGCACAGGTTCTGCTCTTCCTGTGCTGATTTCCTTTGCTGTTCTGACTAACCGAGAAGAGCAAATACATACCCTCGAGAGGCAGGGACAACGGGGCTGGTGAGGCCTCAATGTGCTGCAGAAGGAAGGCAGCCAGTCCATTAACCTTCACTGTGGCAAGGTCCAGCAGCCTTCTGGCCTGTGGGAGAAGAGAAAGCCATGACTTTTTAAAAACAGCTGATGGGGTTTTACATTATAAAAGTCCGTGGAAGAGACAGCTTCCCAGGGAACTACCTGCTCGGGCCCCCCTCCTGTCCTTCTCTTGGACAGGAGCTTTCTTTCTCTCAATAAATATATTCTGCTCATAAAAAATAAAAATAAAAATGGCTGATGGAGTGGGCAGATGAAGGGGAAAGAAGGTCTCTACTGATTACAAGGTGAACATCCCTACCCTGACAACCTGAAATTTGAAAGCCTAAGATCCAGAACTTGCTTAAGTCCCAACATGGTGCCACGAGCTGACAATTTCATACCATGAAACTTTGTTACACGTACAAAATTATTTGAAATATTATATAAAATTATCAAGTTGAGAGTGGTGGCAGATACCATAATCCCAGCCCTTAGCAGTCTGATGGGGGATAGCTGTGAGTTTAATGCCAGTCTGAACTACATGATGAGACCCTGTCTCAAAAAAATAGACTTTGATAAAATAAAATTATCTTTAGGCTGTATGTATACAGTGTATATAAAACATAAATAAGAGATTGGGCGTGGTGGCGCATGCCTGTAATCCCAGCTCTTGAGAGAATGTAAACAGGCGGATCACTATGAGTCCAATCTAGTATTGAGACCCTGAACACCCTGTAGACCCTTCCCTAAAATAAATAAATAAATAAATAAATTTGTTTTGGCTTGTATCCCATCCTCATGATATTTCATTCTATATGCAAATACTGTACTATCTAAGAAAAATCAGAAATCAAAACACCTAGGGTCCAACCATTTAGTATAAAGGATACTCAATTTATACTAAAATTTCATCACAGTAAAAGGCTAGAAAAACAACTATACGAATTGGATAGTGAACTTATACATCCAATCTAGCTCCCTCCCAAAACTTATTAAAGGAGAGAAGGCCTAAGCTGAAAGAGACTAAATAAGATCAAATAAAGACATAAAACTACAAGCCTACAAAGATAAGAAAAATTATCTAGAGGCTGTGAATTATTTGGAAGTGATTTCCAGTTTCATGGGTCCAATGCTCAAATCTCTGTTCCTGACCCCACACTTTCACCTCCAGCCCAAACTGTCCCCAAGACTGGGACTTGATACATCCACCTGCCCATTGTCCTCTTCCACTTAAATGTTTCCTAAGCACTCACCCATGCCAAACCTACAGCCATTTGCATCCCAGCTAAAGTCAACTCCACCCATGCAGCTGCTCAGCCCCCAGATCTTCGTGTCATCCTCAAAGCTGTGAGCCACCAGCAACTTCTGTGGGCTCCCCATTAGGGACACATCCAGCAGAGCCCTGTCCAAAAGACAAGGAATGCAAGAAACAAATGCCAGCCACACGTACAATTTCAAACCTTCTAACAGCCACCTTCTTAAAAGTTCAAAAAAGCAGAATTTTAATCCTATACCCCAACTAACCTAAGACATCAAAAATATAGCCATTTCCACACATAATCAGTAAAAAAAAAAAAAAGTAGAGAGATGAGTGACATTCTCTCATTCATGCTAAGTCCTCAAAAAGTGGTGTGTGTGTGTGTGTGTGTGTGTGTTGTAAGGATCTCAATGTGGATCCAGGCATAGTGAGAAAGCCCATAATCCTAGGTTTCTAGAAGCCTCAGGCAGGAGAATCAAGACAAGAGGCATACCTGGGCCATTTAGCAAGATCCTGTAGCAAAATAAATAAAAAAGGCTGGAGATGCAGCTCAGTGCAAAAGTATAGGGTTAAATCCTAGTACTGAAGGAAAAATAGAATCTCGGGTGTGCTTCCAGTGCACGGCAGCCACGCAGGGCCACAGTCCACAGGCTGGAGACATAACTATAGAGCCCACCCTGCTCATTACCTCCTGTACTGCCACCTGCTCCCAGCCACCTGAATGGCTCACCTGGAAGAGGGCAGAGGCTGCCAACGTGGGATCTTTGCTCCTCACGTCTATTCTCAATGCCACAGGCCCAGAGTTTTTGTCATTTATCAATAAGATTGATCACATGGCTACAAACATCTCAGCTGTGTCCCCATTGACTCAGAGTCAAAGCCTAAGTCCAACAGTAACCTTCCAGATCCATATCAGACAAAAGTCCCTTCTGTAATCATCTGTACCAAGGTTTCTCACTTCCTACCCCTCTTCACCGGCTCACTTCTCTCACATTAGTCTCCTGTTTCCTAAAAATACCCAGCATGCTGACTGTTTCCTAAAAATACCAGGCTTTGATTCTGGCTGCGCCCCTGCCCAGAATGTCCTCCTCCCACTGGGGACACAGCTAATGTCTTCACCTCCTGGAAGTCTGCTCAAATTAGAACTCTCTGCCTTCTCTCTATAATTGAGATCGTCTCTTCCCTGCTCCTTTCCCAAACTCTCCTGTCCCAACTCATTCTACTGACCTTCTGTACCACTTAGCTCCTTCTCACATGTGTGGTGATTTGCTTCCTCTGTTTCTTGTCTACCTCCCCTCACTGGGGTATAAGCCCCTCCAGGACAAGGCTTTCTGCCTATTTGTTCACTGGGGCTCCCGCACCGAGGCTTCCCCAGTTCCTAAAAGAGTGCCTGACACAGATGCAAGGCTAGAAGACTTGCTGAATGAATGAATGAATGGTAACAAAAACTTAGAAGATTCTAGAAGCAAAATGCTAAGCCAAACATGGGGAAGTTGAAAACCCCATAAAGTGTAGTCTAGAATCTGTCAAGGGCTCTAGAGCTATCAGCATCTGGCACCTCTAGGCATGAAGCAAATGATGAAAATAAGGGTGAGGTCAAAGTGGTTTATGAACTAGATCTCAGGGCATCCTTGGCCACTCCAAACCACTAACATCTGTCCCTTCCTGCCATGACAAAGTCTGAACATTTATATTCTGGAAAGGGTAAAACAGAGAATCTCTGGATTGTGCTGTCAGGCACAATTAGAGAAGTAAATGCCATGCTTCACACAGGGTTTAAATGACCAAGTGCAAAACGAAGCTGAATGCTAAACTTTTCTCTGCTACCACGGCTGCTACTCAGCCCTGTCCTTAACTGGGCTCCTAGACATCTAGCAATCAAATCTTCACTTCAGGCAATGAGTCTGTGGTCTAGTCAATAAATCAGGCCTATCCAGAAGGAAAGACCTACAGATAAAAAATACTGGCATTTCCCAAAGTGTCTAACAGTAGAATTCATAGTAGACAAGTTTTACTAGGATAGTAAGTTTTAAAGTCTTCCATTTCACTAAGGAAAAAGACAACAAAGGACTACCATATGCCAAAAGAAAATATCTAACATGGGCAAAAGAAACCAAACCAGGGAGTAAGAGAGGAAACAATTTGTAAGATAAAAAGTTCATGCCAGGTGAAAAAGCAATTCAGGCGAGCAAACAAAAAAACTGTCATTATGAACTTTAAATAAGAGATTGAATCCATAAAATAAGAGCTAGATGCTATATCAAAAGAATAGTTAAAACTAGCTCTTGTAAATTAAAAGTATGATACCAAAAATGAAAAGTTGAAAAGTATATAGAGTTGAGACAAACAAGAGTAAGCAGAGCAAAAAGACAGAGGTGGAAATTATAAGAAAATTTGAGGGTTAAACAAAAAATCTAACAACTAATTAAAATTCCATAAAGAAAGAATAGAATACAACAAAAGAAAATATCAGTATACTCATTAAGTAATTTCCAAGAATACAAAGTCATGAATTTCTGGGTCCCATGGGTATCTAGCATCCAAGGCATTGTGAAATTTCAGAATGTTAAGGATTAAAAGACAATTTGACAATCTTCCAGAAAGTTACAAAAATGGTTTTAGAATTCTTAGCAGCAGTTCTGAAGACAGTAGAGCAATGCTGTCCAAGTTCTCAAGGAAAATGAGAGCCAACTCAGAATTTTATACCCAGTCAAACTGTCCATCCAGTATGAGAAAAATGTTAGACACACTCAGAAATTTTAACTTCTATATACTCATGTTAAAGAATTGAGTACAAGATTTATGAGCTACCAAACTAGAGAAAGACATACTATTCAGAATGCAGAAGACCTAACATAGGATGACTATGAAAAGAAACCTCAAGATGCTGGCTCCCTACTAAATGTGGAGAGCTATACATTCTCACAAAATACAACAGTAACTTAAGACTGAGGCATGTTAAAAGCAGTTATCTCCCAGATGTCCAGTAAGCCTGGCCCTATTTGTTACCTGTATTTTAGTTGTCTTCACCATGAACTAACATACTGCTTCTCTCAACTCCTGTTACATAAGTCATCTGACAGCATTTATTTCATTTTCTAGAAACACCCTTGCCCCAGCTCTGGGAGCTAAAATAGTCTCTAACAAGCCTCACAACTAGATGTACAAGATAGCCCAATTCTTCTGACAGTATCCTACTGGACACTTGACACTTCTCTCACATCAGCCTCACCAGCTCCTCCAGCTGTAATGAGCCTTCAATTTCTGCAGATCTACTCATACCGTTATCTGTCACCTTCCAGGATGGAGTTCTTATAAACTCCCAGACCCTGATAAGCTTCACTGACCTAGGAGTCTTCAATAACAAAGGGCATTATTGCTTTTTTCTTACTCAGCTATATTAGGCTTGTTACTCATAAAAAAATAAATATTTTGTGTGGATTTATTGTAAAAGATATTAAAACAATAAAGGAATGATTAATACAGAGTAGTGGTAATGTCTAGTAGCTGAGTACTGGTAGTAGTTTATTTCTTGGGGAATGAGAAGATGTTTATTTCCATAGCTAGAAAATTTATATACTCTTCTGTAAGTACAGTACATTTCCCAATTAAGAAAAGTCTAAGTTAATTCTGTGTTGGGAGCAAGCAATTCAGAGCTCAGTCTGACACCTCAGCCCTATCAACATTAGTAGTTGCATGAGTCACACAGACAGCTGGTATCACAGCTGGTGTTACCAGCCTCTGGTTTCCTAACAACTGTTAGACCCAGCTGAGCAAAATCACACAGACCACTCACATTTTAAGGCAAAGAGAGAAAATCACCAGCTTTGAGGAAAAGTGGACCTGGATTCAAATTCTAGCTCGCTCCTTCCCGGACATATGTGATCTTTTCACTGCCAAGAAAAAGTGTAGTCAGACTAAAGCTTTTAGAAGCATGCAGTGGAATTATCTTAAATAAGATAATTCAAGGAAATGGCTAAGTACAGTGCTGAGCACACAGTAGGTGCTTTCTACTGTGGGAGCAAAGGGCATTTTGTGGATTTACTTCTTTAGCTTGCCCCCATTTCATACTCAGTCTCCAACCTACTACAGTGGTTGGAGAAAGTTCTAGAAAGAAAATAAAAAACCTGACTGTGGTAGTTGGAATCACTGATGGAAAGCTACCAAATCAGAGATCAAAGAACTTGAATAAAGCTTAGAGAAAGTTGAAGTGTGAGAACTTAAATGTAGTCCTTTTGTCAACTCCTACAATCTTCAGATGTGTTGTCCACTGTTCTTCTACCCACCATCAACGTTCGCTTTTGCTGTCTACTAAGTTCTTTCTTAAAATGAATTTTTAGCCTCATTAGAATTTAGTCTTTCTTAAATCTAAGCACTGAAGATTATAAATTTCCTTCTATATTCTTTAGTGGGACACATACATTTGGAGAAATTTTTCTCATTGTTTGATTGTATTTTCTGATTTCCATTATGACTTCTTCTAGGACTCATAATTTATCCCATTTACTTTTCTTCACCAATCTAAATACTTTTTCTGTTCAGGCCCTAACTCTTCTGGGACATCAGCTCAAACCCCTCAGGACATCCAGACCAGTTGACACTGACAAAGAATTAATCAAAGATGACAAAATACAATCTTATAACTTCTATGATGTGCTCATATGACTCTGTCCCCACAGCAGATCACAAGAGACACCAAGGCAAGTAAAATAAATAAAATGTCTTCTGAATCCCCTTGGGGACCCTTATGAAGACCAGAAGAGCTGGTGCCCAGAGTGTAACTGTAGGTTATATGTGTTAGTTAGAGGGGACCACACCACATCTGTAAATACTTAACAATCCTGAGCTAGCTTCAAATCAGGTTTACAGAGCTAAGCAGCTCAGTATTTCATTCATCTCAACCTAGGCTAACCTAGACTCACTTGAATATCACAAGTTTATATATTTTAAAGAAATAAAAATAAAACCCAGGAAGTGAGCAACTCAGCCCACCCTAACACTCCAATGTAATTATAGTCCATTCATTCATTCACTCATACACTCAATAATTCATTTTTCTCAAGTATTTATCAAATACCTACTAAATGCAAAGCACTTTGATGACAGTAAGCTTTAAGACAGAGCCTGGGATGTACTAAGCACCTAATAGATTCTGGCTGAATATGTGACTAAGGACTGGGGAGATAGCTTGGTGGTCTAAGTACCTGCCAGGCAAGTGCAAGAACCTGGGTTCAATCCCTGGTACCATATGCTGTGCTGACCCTGCTGTGCCAGCCACAATAAATAAATAAATAAATAAATAAATAAATAACTGAATAAGTTAATGATGAATGAATCAGTCAAGGCATGAGGTCCCACATTGGTCCTCTGCTTTACTACTGTTACTTCTCTGGGCTCTAATTTCCCAATTTATAAAGTGGAATCCTAATGACTGTTTTCCATCTGCCTCACAGGAAGCCTGAGAATCACTGTTTGGGGAAAAATAAAACAAAGCATTTCAAAAACACCCAGAAGACCTTTATTTGTCCTTCTGGTCTCTGTTGAATCATCAGATGTTCAGGGCGCTAAATCACAACTCCGAACATCTACAATCTCATGCAAATTCCTATCAGAAACCCATGGGGGCATTTAAACCATACTAGTATGTAGTGTGTTATATTAATTATTAAATGCAAATTTAATATAATGAAATGCTATGCTCTGTTGAGCTGTTAATTTAAAATAGTAGTAAATGTATGCAAGTACAGAATATCACTCATAACAGAGATGGTAGCAGCCAGTGTGCTTCCCACACTGGTCTAATTGAGTCACTGAGCTCTCCCTCAAACCTTGTGGGATAAGTACCAAATATCCACAGCCAGTGTTTTATAGATGAGGAACCTGAGGCAGGAGATATTAAGGAAGGAAAGGTTCCAGATAGAAGGCTGACCTTAAACCTGCCTCATACTGGCTGCAAGGCCCCAGCCCTCAGCCACCACCACACCCCACTTCCTTTCATAGTGCACTGCCAGTGACCGAAGGCAACTTTTACGTGCAGGGAGAACCCCACACACCAAGTTACCCAATAGGACTGACTCCTTCAGAAGCACTAATCTTGGTGACTCCTTTCTCCTTGTGAATTATGCTGAGCAAGGGTGGAGCGCTTACCCTCTGGGATGCCGTGAAGATGGGCAACCTGATTTCATCACATTCATACTGGCTAACGAAACCCTGTTCCCTGGCCACAGCCAGCATGTCCTCCACACGGCTGTAGAGTCTCCTGACAACAGCTGGTCGGTGACGCTGCAGGTCTCTGGCAGGGTGGCATGAGTGAGGGTCCAAACTGTCATGCAGATCAGGGGGCTGGCTGTCAGCCTGGGCCTCCTGGATAGCCTCGAGGAGCTTCTGACAGCCCCAGCTGCCCTTGTTCCAGACTGTGTCCAGCAGGCACCTGGCCACATGGGAGAGAGGCTGGCCCGGGAGGCGGAGGCCCTCGTACTCTTCCCAGGAGAGTACCTCCCAGGAGAGCAGCCAGTCCAAGATGCTCTCAAAGCCCTCCAGGGACCCTGACACAAGCAGCCCCACCAGCTGGCTCCTCTGTGCCTGGAAAGCTTCCTGTGAGCTCATTTCACCACCTGAGGAGAGGAGGAGCAAGGTTAGAACAGGACTTGTCCAGAAGCGTGGCAGAGGAGGCATGGGGACAAGTAAGTCCAGCCCAAGTTAAGTTGCCCATGGTTCTACTCCAGGGCTGTCCAGGCCAAGCTCCCTATCTTCTAGCCATGAAAACTGAACCCTGAGGAAAGCACGAAACCAACGTACAATCCCACAGAGTTCCAAGAAGCCAAGAATTAAATCAAGATCACCGGCTGGCCAGCATTGGTGGCATGCGCCTGTGATCCCTGTCATCTGGGAGACTAAGGTAAAGGATGTCACTTCTAAGCCCAATGTGGACAACTTAGCATCTCAGCGAGACCCTGTTTAAAAATTAGAAGCAAAAAGGGCTGGGAATGCAGCTCAGTGTGAACGCTCTGGGTCAATCCCCAGTATCACAAAAACCAAACAACACAGGCTCCCACACCCATGCATGGTCCTGGTTTAAGAAGTTTACAAAGGCTGGGGCACTGTCTCCCAAGGGATCAGGAAATTCATCCTGTTTGAGGCACGGTACAAGGGCTCTTCCAGGCTGGTTGGGTTTAAGCTAAGTAGCCTAGTGACCAGCTAATATTTATTAAGCACCTATGATGCACCAGACACCCATTTATATGCTTTTCTGGAGGGATTCATTTAACCTCCCACCACTCTGGAGGAGGGTATCACTATCTGATTTTATGGGGAAAAATACTGAGGCACACAGGCAAGCGATTTGTACAATGTGTGACAGCAAGGTAAGGCAGAGCTAGTACACAAGCCCAAGCCCAATCCCAGGATACACATCTTTACCTGCTTACGCCTGGGTCCCCCGAAGGGGCCAGGACCCTTCCCTGAGGACATAACCATTGTCTCACTGTTGCCTAGTGAAGAGCTCAGAATAATTCCACAGAATCTCGATCTAGGAAGTGCAAAAATCATAGTGTCACTGGGCATGGTGGTGCATGCCTGTAATCCCTGCACTCAGGAGACTGAGGCAAAAGAATTGTTGCAAGTTAGAGACCAGCCTGGGCTACAAAGTAAGCTCAAGGCCAGCTTGAACTGCCCGGCAAGACCCTGTCTCAAAAAGATAAAAAAGAAAAGAAAAAGCATAGTATTGTGGAGCACACTGCCCCCAGTCACACATACACACACACACACACACACACACACACACACACACACACACACACACCTTGAGGCCCCCACCTCCAGGTGCTGAGAGCTCAGCAAAGAAAATCTCTTGGTGTAGTTTGTTCTGCTATTGTCCCAGGGCCTGGTGCACAAGAGCTGGTGCAATGCCATGTAAAAAAAACGAAAGTGAAAGGGTGCTGGCATGGAAAAAGAAGGACATAACTTCTTTTTATAAATCAGGGACATTTTGGGACACTCAAAGAGCAGGTGCCAAGTGGCCCTGGGATTTTGCATCTTGCCTGTTGGCTGTTTATGTGCCTCTCATGCCCTGTTATCCCAACGGGGTGCCTGGATCCTGGCATCCTGGCATCCTGCAGCTTGGCACAGCACTGGGCTCTAGGAGCAGCCTTGGGAATTTTCATGAATCAAAATCTAGTGGGGAAGAAGGGCTGTGCCCATGCTCATATGACAGCTGAGGCTGGCCACAGGAGGATCTCCAACTCAGATTGCTGCCAACAGACCGGAGGTTTTGTGCTGGCCAGATGGGGAAACTGAGGTAGCAGGGCACCTGTGCATCTGGCAGCTTGGGAAGGAAGGCGTTCCTACTGCGGAGGCAACTACAAACCAGGAACTATGGCGGTGCCCTGATCTAGGGGGTCTCCTCCCTGTACTGCCCCCAAGCAGGGAGCTAGGTGTGGAGGGGACACTGAGAAGGTAGTACGAGCCCCCAGCACATCCTTGCCCAGGTCTTTGGAAGATAACCAGAGCCCACCCTCCTCTGAGAGCAGCCCGGAGATGGAGCCAGCACCTTCGCTCTGACCCTAGCATGGAAGCATAGGTGCCATCAGGAATCAAAGGAGGACGAAAGTAGGGCTACCATAGGTTGCATCTCTCACTTGAGGATGCCTAGGGCAGGACACCAGCTAATTCTGTCCCACCTGGAGACCCTCGATCACCTAGCCTCCCAAGGAACCAGAATGGCCAGGCCATCTGGGGGCAAGGCCTGGTCAGGAGACAAAAGTGACAGCCCTGGCACTGTCCACAGACCCCACCCCCAGGGGAAATCCCAAAAAGACCAGCAGGAAGTCAGGGCTGGCCAAGCAGCCATCCTGGACTAGAAAGTCCTGGTTGTTTTGGCTCAAAGCCTACTTCATCCACCGTGACCTTCAGTTACAGAAAGACAGAGACACTGAGGCCCCAGACATACCTAGATGAGCTGCTCATAAGTACCACCTGCCCCAAAGCCACCACAGCCAGAGCTACCCCCAGAGTGGCTAGCCACACACACTCAGGCTTGTCTTGGGCAAGAGGAGAGACCAGTCCTCTGGAAACCTCAGAGCAAGGGGAAATCCCCAAGGGCCAAGGGCAAGCCCCTGCCCACAAGAAGCCATTGTCCTTTCTTAATATAACACTTGGGAAGGAAAACACCTGGCCTTGGGGCTGTTCTCACAAACCAGCTCAGGAAATTCTTGCTGTGTCTTAGCTGAAGTTCCTCCTGCTTGAGTTTAACTCAGGAAAGAAAGATAGGTAGATGTTTACTTACCATCTGTTTCACAAAAACTGTCCCTAAAATCCTCTTGCATTTTATCACCTGGTCAGACTTTCTCATTTCAGACTAAAGCATCAATTTATCTCCATTGTCTTTTCCTCTGCTTCAGTTATTATAAGTTCTGTGTCACTATTGTCCTGTCCTCCTGGCTGAAGCAGAGGATCAGCAGGTGATGCTGGTCCTCCCTGACCCCAGGGCCCGCGCCTGTCCTGGCACCTCTTCCTTCCTCCCCATCGGGGTTCTCTGAGCCAGTGCTCTTAGCCCGAGGGAAGACAAGTCAGGGAAGCCCAACCAGAACCACCTTGGTCCCAAGAGGGACTGAGCCGCCCCTGGAGCGCTGGACCCACCCCCTCCCTGGCCATGCTCCACTCTCCCTCCCACCTCCGAGCTTCCCTCTTTAATAGATGTCTTCACTGGGGTGCAGAAAGACCAAATCCCCCTCTGGACCCCTCCCTCTCACTCCAATGTCATATCTGCTGCCCGAGTCTTCTCCCTCCCATCAGGGTCACCAGCAATGTCCTATAGCCCAACTCGCACCATCTCACCTGCTCTGCCAAGGCAGCCAGCACAATATCCTGGTGGCTCCCTGCCCCTTCCTCTAGGAGCACTCCCCCAGGATGCGAGTCCCATCTCCCTCCCACGTCAGGGCAGCTCTTTCTGTCTCCTTGCCTGGCCTGAGCCACCCCGAGGACCCAGAGCATCACACTATTGCCAGCCCCAACCCCCGTGAGGTTTTCCCAGCCGCCTCCACAGCATCACCTGTATGCTTAAGGAGCATCTCAACCTGCACAGCCACAAAGTCAAACCCCTATCTGCCTCCTAAAGAGGGTCCATCGTGAATGACAGTGGTCCAATCTTGTAGATGCTCAAGCTGAAAACCTCAGAGTCACCCTTGATTCCATCTCTGGTGTATCTCAAGTCCTGTCAGCCCACTCTTCAAAACTGGAAATTTTTGAAAATGTGAAAGCCTAAAGTTTTTTTTCACCGCCTTTCTATGCTGTGGTAAATTCTCCCACAGTCTCACCCTTGGATGACAGCAGTGTCCCCTCTTGGGGTCCTCCCTTCAGTAGATGAGCCCACAGCCCCTGGTTCAGGGCAGGTGGCTCCTCTGCACAGAGCCCTCTGACCGCACTCCAATTGAAAGCCAAAGCCTGTCCGGTGTGCCCAAGGCCGTGGGCAGCAGACCCGCTCCGATGGACCCTCACCCCCTCACCATCCTGGACTCTCTTCCTCTTGACTCCCCGCATCCTCTCCCTGCTCTGGTTACACCTGCCTTCTCTCTTTGATCTTAGGCTAAACCAGAGCTGCACCTGCCTGGACTGCCTGGTGGGCTCCTGCCTCGGGTTGGGGCCTTTGCGCAGGCTTCTAGTTTCACGGCTGCTCTCTGCTTTCTCCTATCAAACCTCTGGCCCGTGGATGTGGAGGGCTGTTTGTTTCACTGGGAACTCTAAACGGTTTGCCATCACTGCCCTAGACAGCCAGATGGTTCCTAATGATTTGTTTGGTGATCACAGTCTACAGGCCTGCCCTGCCTGTGCTGTACAGCACTGCAAACCCCAGCCCAGCACCCCAGCACCCCAGCACCCCAGCACCCCAGCACCTGCCCCTGCGTTGTCTCCACTGCACCTCTCACCACACCAGTGCAAGGTATTTACTTATTTCCTTGCTTATGCTCCTTTCAACATGTGCACTCCACAAAGGCAGAGTGTTGTCTGGGTTTTCCATTGCTATATCTCCCGTGTGTCATCTGATAAAGCAGGAATGAATGAATGAATGAATGAATGAATGAATGAATTTGCTCAGAAAGCAGATATGGACCAAGGTGCAGGATCTGCATGCCACAGACTTGAACTAAATGAAATTAGAGCTGCCGGACACAAATAGCCACCTCCTCAGAAGTGAGCTCCTGGTCACAGGTCTATGCGACAGAGGGATTCTGACCTGGGGTCCAGGCTAGATGGGCCCCTTCCAGCCTTAGGCTCCAGAGTGCAGAGAGGCCAAGGGGCCTGGGCTGAGCAGCAAACCCAGAGCTCTGGCACCCTGTGGAGGTGGGACCAGGACAGAGCAGAGGCTGTGGGGCTGTGATTCTGGGCCTCCTCCCTAAAGGACCAGGGAGGGGTGACAGGGCAGCCTTTCTCCCTCCCCAGAACAAGGAACCCAGAGGAGACCAGGCACAGCCCATGGGGAAACTGAGGCTACAGGGCAGGAGGCCAGGGCTCTGTCTGCGGTGCTCACTCAGCTGCAGGACACTCCACTTCCTTGGGGTGCGGGAAGCTTTGTACGAAAACAGGTAGGACCAGATGGCCATGGCACCAGCTTGAGAAGCCAGAAGAGGCCAAGGCCTGCAGGATGTGGGCCCGGCAGGCCTGGGCGGGGGCCTGTCTGGACCTGCCAGGATCGGAACCTGGGGCTCTCACTCGCCAAGTGGGAGGGAGGAGCAGGAGCCTTCCCTAAGTGTCACAAGAGACCCAGTGAGAGGAAGGAACTGCCACCCACTGGTCACAGCCTCAGAGCTCCAAGGCTCCCGCCCCCAAATCTCCTCATCCCTGTTACCACAAAGAACTCCCCAACCCGGAGACGCCCCCTTTTCTTTCACCGCCATTTTCCACCGCAGGATGTCCCCAGGTAAACTGAGGCAGCCTCGCCCCAAGCCCAGCGGTCAGGGCAGCGGCGGAGACAGGGGTCCGAGTCAGAAGTGGGTTTCTTGGCGCCCACTTCCAGTCTCCCCAACCCACCCACAGCGCGAAGCACAGGCAGGGCCCTGGATAGGAACTCACCGCCCTGCAGCCAGCGATGCAATCCTGCGCCGGCCGGGCTGGGGCCGCGACTCCCAGGATCAGCCCAGGATCAGTCCAAACTCTAGAGCTGGGTCGTCACCCCGCCCTCGCCCCGCCTCCTCCCTGCCCCCTCCACGCCCCCACAGCGAGGTTCCGGGCAGCCCCGCCCCTCCTGGCTCCAGCCGCAGAAAGGAAGGCCTCAGGCTTGTTGGTCCCAGTCTGGGACAGGTGAAGATGGGTATGGATGGGTCTGCCCTTGGAAATCAGAGGCATTGCTAACGTATCTCCCTTTTTTCTCCTTTCTTCCCTCTTTCTCTTTTCTTCTTCTTTTTTTTTTTTTTTTTTTTTTTTTTTCCGGTACTGGGGAGTAAACCTAGGACTTTTGCACTAAGCTACATCCTCAGTCTTGTTTTTTAAACAGTCTCCATAGCTAAGTTGCCCAGGCTGGGCTTGAACTTGAGATCATTCCTGCCTCGGCCCTCCTGAGTGCTGGACTCACAAGGTGTGCTTCCATGCCTGGTCATGGAGTGCCTTTCTGAACCATGTTCTAACTAGAAGGGCAACGGAGATTTCTAAGAACAACACCCCTCCCCACACACACTCACCTCAACACACGCACGCACGTGTGCACACACACGCACACTCAGCCATATCTTTTTAAAATTTTTATTAATTTATTTATTTGGTACAGGGTCTTGCTGTGCAGCTTGGACTCATAGTGATCCTTCTGTCTCAGCCTTCCCAGCAATGGGATCACTGGCCTGTGCTACCATGTCCGGTTTCCATAGCCAGCTGGGCTCACCTGGGGTTCCCAGGGCCGGCAAGTCATGGGGTCCCAGGGATTGAACCCGAGTCCTTGTGCTTGCCAGTCAGGTGCTTAGACCACCAAGCTATCTCCCCAGCCCATCGGCCATATCTTATGAAATTAAAAGCTAGAAAATCTTTGATACTAGTACAAACTTGATGCACTCTTTAAGTGATCCTTAAGTTGTTGGTCACCTAAATGCTCTAATACTATGCGACTCCCAAATGACACACGGTGGGGGGGGAGTGGACAAGGCCTTTCAATACAGTTCCTCATCTTACACAGTCTGTCAGTCCTTCTGCTAGGCTGAGGAGAGAGGGCCCACTTCAGTACTCACAGGGCTTGGACACAGCCTGCTCTATTCAACCTCCCAATAGAACCTAAACAGCTCTTAATGACATTGTTTTGTTTCCCTTAAATTTACTATATGCATTTCAAGTCTTCCAAGCAAGTGACAATGTTTTCCATTTAAGGTGTTACTATAAATGCTCTTTTTGAAAGCACTTATATTGGGGTCTCATTTAAAGCCAAAATAATGAAAATAGCTGTCATTGATATAGCGCTCACAATGTATTGACCTTCATAAATAAGACTCACTTACATAGTGTTAGCTATTATTATCCTTAATTTAGAGATAAAGAAACTGAGGCACGCAAAGATGAATTAAACTGTCCAAATAGTGACAGTTGCCCTAGGGCTCTGGCCACAGAAGTTATGTCCTAACTGTACAGACCCACCTACAAGAACAGTTACCACATCTTGTCTGTAACAGTGAAACGCTGGAACCCTACGTGCCCAATAGCAGGGAACAGGCAGAGCACCTAGAAAACTCAACCCAACCCACCTTCACTGGTCCCCTGCATCCCACCCAGGAGCAAATGCTTGGCTTGAGCTTCAGAGTAACCCTGGAGGCAGCCACTCCTTGCCTGATCCGCCATGGCCACCCGGGAGCATGGCTCATCACGTCTCTCCTGGGTTTCCTCAGAGCTGCTGGCCATTCTCCATGATGCTTGCTGCAGGCCTTCTTCAGTATAGCAGTCAGAGTGAGTCTGCTTTAAAAAATCAAACAGACTTCACCCTTTGTTGGTGACTCCTATATCAATCAGTAAAAACCAGCATCCTTGCAAGTGCTCTCTTGGCCCTCACCACCACCACCACCACCACCACCACCATCACCACCACCACCACCACCAGTCTCCCCGCACTCCCTTTGCTCCAGCCATCCTGGTCTCCCAGCTGTCCCTGAAGCACGCCAAGCCTTCTTCGACCTCCAGGCACCCACACTTGCTGATCCTTCCATTTGGAATGCTCCTCCTTTAGAAGTCTGCCCGGCTCCTTGCTTCTCTTTCTGGTCTCTGCTTACACGTGGTCCCTCCAGTGAGTGCTCTGTGCACATCTGCAACACCTCAGGTAGTTTTCCTTGCTCTCCTTGATGCTTTCCTGCATAGGACTTCTCTCTGCACCACATGCTGTATATTCCATATAGCCTCTCACCCAAGGGAACATGAGCTATAAAGGAACAGGAATCACCTGCCTTGTTCCCTGGAGCAGAGCTGGCAGGTAATGAATATTTCTTAAGTGAATGTACAGTAAATTGGCACTGTGATTCTAATAGCCAATGAAGATGAATAAGCTACTGCAGCCCAAAAGGCCCACAGTATTGTTGAGTGAAAGAAGCCAGACACAAAAGCATGCACACTGGGTGATATTACTTGTATAAAATTCAAAAGCAGGTGGAGCTAAATTACAGTGGGAGGAGTCAAGATAGAGGGTGCCACTGGGGAGGAGGTGGAATGAGTAGGGAGGAAAGGGGGCCTCTGGAGTGCTAGTAATGTTCTAGTTTGGGTCTGAATGGTGGTTACAAGGATGCAAGTTGTTGTGCTTTGTGTCTAGATGCCCCTGCAAAGCCTCATGCAGTCATGGGGTGGGCTACTAGAGTTTTTGGTTGATCCATGGTCCAATGCTGGGATGATGGGGGTGAGTGCTACCCCTGCCCTGGGGTGGGTAGCCTGATACAGTACAAGGGAGGGAAGGAGGCTTGCTCTCTGTTGCTCCTCCCCTTTGCTTTTGTTGCCTTTGCTGTTTTCCACCACCACAAACTGCTGCCCACTGTCATGTGCCACCCTGCCTCGGAGCCAGCCAAGTATGGACTGAAGCCTCCACAAATGGTGAGCTAAATGAAGTTTTTCTTCCTTGATTCTGGGTGTCAGGTATTTTGCCTCAACAATGAAAGAAAAATAACCAAGACACAAATACTTTGTGAAAACCGGTCAAATTAAACATGTATGATATTTACATTTTCCTTTATGTCTGATGCATTTCACTAAGAATTTATTATTAAAAGATCTGATAGCAAACTAGATATAGTGTAGCGTGACTGTCACGCTAGTCATGGCGTGAGTACAAAGTGCTAAATTATCGTGGCCCTGATTCAAAATGACTGAATCTCAAAAACAACAGCTTATCTTCCCAATGTCCACTTCCTCCTTCTTCTTCACTCTGGTTCTGGATACTTTGCCCACACACACAGGGGAGTCCCCAATCAGTTCCTTGTGTGTCCCTGAACCTGCCCCTCAAACTCCTCCTCAATGGCAATACAAGCCTGTCGCTAATGTTCTTATTCAAGAAAGTGAAGCAGGAAGACCTCAAGTTCAAGGTCAGCGATACAATTTAGTGAGACCCCCGTCTCAAATAAAATTTTGAAAAGCAGCTGAGATGTAGCTCAGTGGTAGAAGGAAACCTAGGGTGGTGTATGTTTATTAGCATAGAACAATGAACAATGGCCACTTTAAGGCTAAATTTTAAAAGTAGCTTATTTTTTAAATAAGAACTACATTTTAAATTGCCAGAGTTGGAGCCGGGGAAATGGCTCAGGAGGATAAGTTCTTGACAGACAAATGCAAGGATCTGAGTTCAATCCCCAGTTCTGCCAAAAAAATAAAATAAAATAAATTTCCAGAGCAATTTGTTTATTTCTATGGAGCTGAGGGTTGAACCCAGGGTGTCAAGTACACTAGGCCAAGTGCTCTATCACTGTGCTCCATCCTCACTCTTCGCCAAGGCAGGTTAAGGGGGAAGAGCAGTCACCCTGACAGACATACGCAGTGCTGGATGGCCACACACCAAAGGATGAATGTGGAGTCCTATTTCAGCCTGTATACAAAATTAAATCAAGATGGCTCAAAGGCTGAAATGCAGGAGTTAATTTTTTTTTTTTTTTTTTTTTTTGTATTTAGTACAGGGTCTACAAGGTCTCACTATGTAGATTGAACTCGTAGCAATCCTTCCTGTTTTCAGCCTCCCAAGTGCTGGGATTACAGGCGTGCACCACCACACCCAGTCTCAATCACTGTCTCAGCGCACCCCAGGGATGGGGCCAGCACCACAGGCCAGGGTTTGAACCCTCAGCCCCTGTAGCTGTCTAAGCAAATACTTTAGTCCACTGAGCTATGTGGCTGGCCCTAAATATAAAATTCTTAGAAGACATAGGTATAAATCTTGATTGCCGCAGGTGAAGCAATAATTTCTCAGATTTAACCCTATAAGCAACCAAAGGAAAAAAGATGGGTAAACTGGGCTTAAAGTTAGAAGCTTTTGTTCCTCAAAAGACACCATGAAGAAAGTGAAAAGACAGTCAACAGCGTACAAGAAAATACTTGCAAATTGTACCTAGAATATAGGATATAAAAGACTTCTCAAACTAGCTGCATGTAGTGGTACATGCTTGTAATCTGAGCACTGGTGAGACTGGTAGGAAGATCACAGTGAGTTCAATCAAGTTTGAGGTCAGCCTGGGCTACACTGTAAGATCCTGCCTGAAAATAAATAAATAAATAAATAAATAAATAAATAAATAAATAAATAAAGGTCTGGCCAAATAGCTCAGCGGATTAAAGGGCCTGCGGTAAGGGCAGGGGCTAGAGGTTCGATCCTCGGTTCTGCCATGCTGGCCCTGCCTGGGGCACACTGAGATGACAATTGAGACTGGATGTGATGGAGAGTGCCTATAATCCCAGCTCTTGGGAGGCTGAAAACAGGCAGATCACTATGAGTCCAATCTATGCAGCGAGACTCTGTACACCCTGTAGATCCTTCCCTAAGACACAAAAAAAAAAAAAAAAAAAAAACTCCTCAAACTCAATAATAAACTAAGGATTTTACTTTTTTTTTTTTTTTTCTTTTTTTTTTTTTTTTTAACAGTGCCAGGAATCAAACTTGGGACCTTGTATTTGACAGGTTGGCACTTATCCCAC